AATTGGTGGCTGACTGATAATGAGCTTGGCAATTTCTCCACAAGAGGAGGCAAGACGCCTCTCCATGAGATATCCATGAGTAAGACGAGTAGCAAAGCGAATACGGGTGAAGAGTATCCCCAACCTCGACACTGGTGATAAGAAGACGGCCAGTAACCTATACTCGGTTTAATAGATTGAAGTTTGTGCCGAGCATAGTAGACCAAACGTTTTTGCCAACGGGTGTGATGGTGAGGAAGATATGGCAGCAAAATAGTCCCTAAATTAATACCTCTATAAGAAAACTGGTAGGTCAAGTACTGCTGACCGCGCAGCAGTGTCCTGGCCTGTTCAAATAGCCCTGTACGTCAACATGACCAAGGGACCCAACAAAAAACAATATCTGTATGCTTGGTAAGATGGCGGCGTAGCAAAGTTGATACGGAGGACTAAGGGGTGAGGTGTATGCAAATTTTTGTATAGCCTGTAAAGCACTAAGGGAGTCAAAACAACCACAAATGAGACACAGGCCTAGATGCAATAGGGATAAGTGCAGTAAGGATTGGCATATAAATCAGCAGTAAAATACTAGCCGAAGATAAAATGCCCTTGTACGATGCTCCGGAACACTGCTAGCGAATCCCTACGCCATCAGAAGACATTAGAGCCTCTGTGTAACCAGCAATGGCATGAGAATAAGAGTGAAAGTGGTCCAAAAAGAGAGGTGGGAAAGCGACCGTAGACAGTTGGGCATTCGAAGCAAGGGAGGGAGAAAGAACAGACTCGAACAGCTGGAACATCCCAGGGGGGTCTGAAAATTGAGATGCTACATGTACATAAAAGGTGGTAAAGTTTGAAGCGAAGACAATAGCGAGAGATGAAGGCGAAGAGAGAAGGGGATGGAGTAAAAGGCGGCGAACTAATAAAGAATGTCTACAAATATCAGTGCCATTCTATAAATGGAAGGATTGCGGAGATCATGAGAGCGTACATAGTACGCAGGCAATGGGTCATCCACGGCGATCGATAAGGATGGAACGTTCGCATTTCTGCTATAGAGGCTCTCGAAAGGGGAAGAGTGAAAAGCACCAAAGGCATAAACGTAATCCTTGTGTGATGAATGGGGTTAAGGCTATAGAGAGTACATCAGGAGATGGCCGCTGAAATAGATCTGGTCACCAAATCAAGTTTCGATAAAATAAGGATGGAATGTAAGGAGAAGGTAGGGTTCGAACGATCAGCTCCCCATGAAAAGATGACAAGGGTTTTAAGAAGGTCAGCCGCTGTGACAATTGCCTCAGAGAGGTAATGTGAGGTTTTCCAGGATAACCAACGATCAAAGAGGAGGCCCAGAAACTTGACTGTATCACGTTCAGGGATATCGGGAGCCATAGAGGTACAAAGGAGATCAGATGACAGAGCATCTCGTGAAAGTATTTTGTGTGGTTTTAGTGAGCTGGAAACTATAAACCCACGTGTGGTGGCCCAATTGGAAACACGGTCGACTGCATTTGGAGAGAAACTGTAATGAGGTGACAGTCAGCGCCTGCACAGGCAATAGCTAAGTCATCAACATAAGTGATGACCAAATATTTGATGGAAACTAGAGCCAAATCATTAATAGCAAGGAGAAACAGTGTTGTGCTCAGAACATCATCCCTGGGGGACACCTTCAAGCTTGGATAAAGTTCCGGGGAGAGCACATATAGTAATCCGAACACGGAAATACTGTCAGTAAAAAGTTTCTTAAGGAAGGAGGTAGAATTGCCTCGAAGGCCTAAGGAGTGGGCTTGAGCTAAATATTATACCTCCAAGTTGTTGTCATATGCCTTTCTCAAGGTCAAAAAAAGTATGGCAATATTGAGTGGTTAT